GGCAGCTGTGCCCACAGGGTCCTGCTCCTACTGGCTCCAGGAATGCAATCTGTCCCCGTCCTTATTTCCATGCCTCCCCCTCTCCCATGCAAGTGATGAGCATGCATGGCCTCAGCTCAGAGCCGCCACGTGACTGTCCTCTCCTGCCTGCAGAGCGCGATGCCGTGGTTGCGCCGCAGCATGGTGCCAAGCAGTGCACGGAGAAGTGCGAGGCAGACTCACAGTGTCCCTGGGGACAGAGGTGCATCCACACCAGCTGCGGCCGCGTCTGCATGGACATCCCCGGAGGTGAGATGCAGCTCAGCCAGCCAGGACCCAGGCATTGCTCCAGGAGCTATGGGGTGCCCCCTAGTTGGGTGCCCCATGGCAGGGTGCTCTGCTTTGCAGGCAGAGAGGGAGCGTGCCCTGTCCCCAGGGGCCGTGGGACATGCCTGGACCTGTGCAGCCTGGATGAGGACTGTCCCTGGGGCCACAAGTGCTGCAGCAACGGCTGTGGCCATGTCTGCATGCGGGTGCCTGGTGGTAAGAGGACCCAGGGCCACTGAGCTGGGGCCAGCACCAGGGCACGTGGGGTGCCAGCCAGACCTGCATGAAGGGCACAGCCCTCAGCATGCTCCTGGCTTGGTGTCGCCACAGAGCCGGCTCCTGCTGCTGCCCCATCGCTCTGCTCCCAGCAGAGATGCACTTTTGGGGTGAGGGGACCCAAAGGGACACTGAGCAGGATGAAGCTCTCACCAGAGCTGGCTGTGCTTGACCACAACTGTGGCCTCTGGTCCCTTGCCCCCACAGCCTTGGGGCTCCCTAAAAGCTCATCTTCCTTTTCAGACTCTGTGTGACGAGAGAGCAGCAGCTCCGAGGCAGGAAGATGCCTTCGTTAGGGGACACAGGGCGGTCACAGGCCCCAGCTGGCCTGTCCTCTCCCCACCACCTCCGGCAATAAAGCGCATCCATAGACACCTCCAGCCACCTGCGAGTCTCAGCAGCACCAGGCTGGCTCCACCAGGCCCTGTAACAGCCTCTCGTGCTCCTGGAGCAGCCCCGGCATTGCCCACAGCTCGCCGGGAAAGCGATGGTCCTACCAGGGCTGGGGCCAGGGGGCTCAGCCCACGCCAGGGTCGGTGCCATGGGGCCAGCGAAGCGGTGCAGACACAGACCCACGGGGCCAGGGGCAGGTTGCGGGACAGGCACTACCCTGGGTATCCATCGAGGTGGGGGCCATTTCTCCTCCGTTATGTCGCTTTAGCTCCCAGCCATGTCACATCAGCAGCTTGGGGACAGAGCTGGGGCCCATCCAGACACAGCGGAAGCTGCGGGGTGGTGGCCAGGGTGAGCCCTGGGGCCACCACACGGTGCTCCTGAAGGCACTCATTGCCCAGTCCCAGCAAGGGAGGGTGGCCCAGAGGGACGGGCACTGCCTACTCCTGCCCATGCAGGCAGGAAGGACCAGACCCAGACGTGCTCATCCAAGGACTTGTCCTTGTATTGAAGTGTCACAGCCCCAGGGGAGGAACAGGCTCCTCTGGCCCAGCACCACAGCACAGGAGGGGGCAGCCACACTGCCGGGGGCGCACGTCACTGCCCTTGCACTGGCAAGCATCCCTGGGAAAACCACAGCCCCTGGAATGGCCACCTCGGGCAGCAGCACCCATGGCCACCAGCCCCACCTCCCTGTGGGGACGGGGCTGTGGCGGGGATGTGGCTGCCGGCAGCAGCATCTTCCACCGGGCAGGGGCCGTGCAGAGGCCACCACAGTCCCTGGGCTGGCCCTATCAGGCACCTGGAACTGAGAGATGGGGGGTAAGGAGCTGGGCCGGGTATCACCAGGGGCAGGAGCAGCTGCCAGCCATGGCATATGGCTAGTTACCGATGTGGGAGCAGGCCTGGAAGCACTCGCTCTCGGTCTCAAAGTTGTTCCTGTTGCCGCCACAGCCACCATAGATGAACTCCTCGCACTGCTGGCTGGAGGCGTTGAAGAAGAA